TCAGTCACCTACAGAACTAGCTGGACCTTCAGTGAGTCATTTAACCTAGTTAAGTCTCGAGGTTCTCAACTCAAAAAGGAAGGGAACTGGACCACACCCTTTCTCTATGTTCTTTGGGATGTCTCTTTTCTATTTCACTGGGATGTTGGGAGGATAAATTAGGCAAAAACTACAGAATATAGGTAAATTAAGATGCCATGTCTATAATCCTCTTTTATGGAATATTCCTCAGCTTATATCTTAGGGACCTGCTAGCATTATTGGTCACACCGTTCACCCAGAGAAGCAAAGAAATGGAGAGGGTTCCATACCTGAGAGCTAGAGTACAACTGTAGGTTCTTAGTCCTCAGTTCACTGTTTATTGACCATACGCCTTGACTTCCCATCAGAGCAACTGACTCTCTTTGTGAATTTGTGTCATTTGGGGAAAATAAATCGATGGAAGAGACAGGATCAAACTTTGCAGCCTGAAGAACAGTTTCTGCTGAAGATCTTAGAATCAAAGAACTATCATTTTTGTCCAGAAGGAAGAGAACATTCTTCACAAAGTTCTGTTTTCCTATTTTTGTTTTTTGGCTATGTGTGTTTTTATTAGAACTGCCATTTTCAAGTCTTATTAGAGATTGGTCATTTCATAATTATTGCAAGGACTGGATATACAATGTTTTAAAAATGTATCTTTTGATTTGAAAATAATACACATTCATGTAGAATTTGCAAAGGAATATATAAAAATATAAAAGAGAAGAAAACAATTAACTGTGCCATTAGCACTCATAGACAATAGCTGTAAATTTTTAGTTTATTTTGTACTAGTCTTTTCATATATAATTATGAATTTGGGATTATCTTGCAACACACACAAGGTATCTTCTTAGGGTCATTAAATATTCAGACCCACAGACAACCACATGCTACATTTGGCACTGGTCTACTTGGAAGGAACCATAGCTTGCCAACAGGGAAGCATCACGTGCTCCCCTACAGCACGTGTCTTCACAGTGGTCCAGCAGAGCCATAGAGCTCAGGTGCAAGAGACCATAGACACATCAAAGGATGCAGGAGCCACCGTGGCTTAAAAGCCTCATGCCCTACAGGAGCCAACATATGGTGCACAGCAACTCCAAAGGCATAGCCTTCAAGGTCCTACGATGGATGTGCCAAATTTCCAGAGTCATTGCACTTAGAAGTCATAGCGTGGCACCTCCTCAAGTAATTACAGTTCTCGGAGTCCAGATGCATTCACCCATCAGGGGTTAATCTTGCCTAGCAACACTGTTGATACATACCACCTTTTTCTTTTTCTAGGGAAACAGACCCAGAAAATTAAAAGAAGGTCAGATTCCCTTGTGAAAGGGAGAAAGATTTTACATGCAATAACTATATACATTTTTTTAGCCCTTAAAAAATATCTTAAGATTAAATCAAAAGCCTGTTTCATTGCTATTAAAAGTGTTTCAAAAATACAACTGCCTCATAATATATTTACACAATTCCCAAGTACTGTGCATTTAGCTAGTTCCAAGTTTCTCACTGAAACTATTGCTGACATGAACATCCCTATACACAAATACTTGTATTTATATAAAACTGATTATTTCCCTAACATAAATTCAGGTACTGGAATTAATGACTGAGTCTGAAGTTTATGAACTTTTAATACATCTTACTTCGACTAGAACTGTATGAAAGTGTCTTTATCTTCAACAACATGGTCTATCTTTCTTTAAAACATCTGCCAATTTTATATAAAGGGAGAAATACTGTACTTGTCAAAATTACTTTTCTTTGATAATTGATGAGTTTAGAAATGTTCAGGCACACAGTCAATTTACTGTTCTGTTAATACTGTCTATTCTTGTGTTCTCCTGTTTTTACTTGGGGAAGCTCATTTTTTTTTAAGAATTAAGGGCATTTACATTTGAGTCTTATATCCTGTAAACTTTTTGTAGTCTTTTCCTTTTGTTAGAAATGCTTATTTTTAGGTAGACAAGTCTATCAATCCTTTTCTATACTCTTGCATCAACTTTCATAAGGGAGATTGTTTTTGCTACTGAGGGTGCTTTTGTGGGTGTGCATGCAGACTTTCTAAGTGTTTAAAATCCATATTTTTCTTGCTTTGTAATGTGCAATAAAAAGCTTTCCATTTATTTTTAGGCTCTGGGACATTTTATAGAATTATGGATTTTATATTCCTTGAAAGTTTGAAGGAATTTATACTACAGCTACATGTCCTCAGTAGTATTTTGCGAGATAAATTTTAGACGTGTTTAAACATTTATTCTGTTTTTATTCACTATTCAGCTTTTCTACATCTTTTTAGGGCATTGTTAGTAAATTATCTTTTCATAAAATATTACCAATTTTATTCAGAGGAAAGAATTTATTGGCACAGAATTGTAAATACAATTTATTTTTTTAAAAAGATTTTATTTATTTATTTGAAAGAGAGTGAGCAAGAGAGAAAGAGAGAATGCACATGAGCCAGGGAAGGGGCAGAGAAGGAGACACCCCGATGAGCAGGGAGCCTGACGTGGACTTGATCCCAGGTCTCTGGGATCATGACCTGAACCAAAGACAGACACTTAACTGACTGAGCCACCCAGGCACCCTGAAAATACAATTTAAATAGAGTATAGACTTTTTTTTAAATTTTTATTTATTTGACAGAGAGACAGCGAGAGAGGGAACACAAGCAGGGGGAGTGGGAGAGGGAGAAGTAGGCTTCCCTCGGAGCAGGGAGCCTGATGCGGGGTTCGATCCCAGGACCCTGAGATCATGACCTGAGCCCAAGGCAGACGCTTAACAACTGAGCCACCCAGGCACCCCTAGAGTATAGACTTTTAAAGGCTTATGTATTTTTGCTTATGTTTTAACTTTTTTTACTCCTGCCTTTCTTATATTAGACTATCTGGGGGGTTGTACATTTTACCTTTCAAAGAATCTCATCCCGATTTTATTTGTTAATTCTATTGTTTTCTGATTCACTAAATTTTTTTTGTCCATAATTTTTCCTAATTTGTTTCCCTTGCTTTATTTATTTATTTAATGGAAAAAAATCTCTCTAATTCCAAGAAGAAATTACAGGAGAACCTAGGCAATGATATATACCCTGGGACTAGGAAGAAGCGAGGAAAATATATTAGTAAGTCAACAGATCACTCAGAGAGTGTCTTAATACACAAGAAAATATGCTTCTGAGACAGAAAGAAACCAGGATGTGATTCCAGACTAAGTTTACTGCCTGCAGTTCCTGGGATTCCAAGTAGAATCTCGTTCCTTTCAGGTACAGGAAGTTGGTCTGTGATCCTGAAGAGGGTGAAGAAGTTTCCAGCCAGGCTCTGTGTTGCCCTACTTCTAAACACTTCAGGGCGCCTGAGCGGCTCAGTTGGTTAAGCGACTGCCTTCAGCTCAAGTCATGATCCTGGAGTCCCAGGATCGAGTCCTGCATTGGGCTCCCTGCTCAACAGGGAGTCTGCTTCTCCCTCGGACCCTCCCCCCTCTCATGCTCTCTCTCTATCTCATTCTCTCTCTCAAATAAATAAAATCTTAAAAAAAAAATTTTAAACACTTCGTACATGCCAGACACTGTGCCGAGCCATTCGTACGAACCATCTTATTCAAGTCTCATGACAACTCCATGAAATAGGGAGTCCTGTTATCCCTCTGTTTTTTGGGGGGGGGGCAATAGAGTGATTCGCCCAAAGTCACATAGACAGGATGTGAATCCAAGTGTGTCAGACTGCAGAACTTGTGTTTTTAACCGCCCCAACATACCACAGTTTTATTACTGCTGACCTTAATTGATACAGCATAGTATTATCATTTAAGGGCGGGGGAGGGGGTAGAGCCAAAGATCAATGATCAGAATGAATTTAAAGTACTATGACTCATTATGCCCATATTTTTTCTCCTCAAAAATTCTATTCCATTTCTCATCTTAAAGCAAGCAAAACATTTGCATAGAAAACAATACTTGAACTGAATGTCTGAGCCATCGGTATATTTCTCAGCATGCCAGTCAATATTTTTATTACCAAAAGAGAGGGGAGAGGAAGAGAGTGGGGGAGAGAGGGGGCAGAGTTGGGGGAGGCAGCTCTTAGAAGAGATATGGGGAAATGATAACTGATATTACATCCCAACTAATCTGACCTTGTAGCCTGTTCAGACACAGAAAGGTTTATTTTAAAACACTCACAAAGTCATTTTTAAAACTGAAATTAAAATATCTAAGGGTTAAATCACTTTACCAGATAATACAGATCTGTGAACTTTATGCTTTTGAAACAGTTTCCCTCGAGAATAGTCTAGCCAATTTTTTTTTTTTTTTTGCCTCATGAAAGAGAAGAATGAAATAAATGAAGGCAAAGTTACAACTGAATTGAATGTGATGTAATATGAACACAGCCAGAGCCACCAAGCATGAATCGCAGCAAACTTCAGGTCAAGCGATTTCTCTCATCAGCCCCTCTGGAAGTTCAATCAGAACAGCAGGAGACACAGGCCCAGGGGAGTCTATTCCACTCTGATCTGAGTCTTTATATCAGCCCCAGCATTTACATTCAAGACCTCTTCTGAATACACACAACCCGCAGCACATTTTTTTCAAGATCACAGTAGCTGTTCTTAACTAACATATTAGCCAATCAAGCCTGTTGATTTAGACATTCACAGTAACTTACAAAATGTATGTGTGTGTGTGTATATATATATATATATATGTATATACATATACATATATACACACACATATATATATATTTACTAAAATTTAGACACCAAAAGGCAAAAACCACCTATAAAAGACAAGACCTATTTTAATGAGATTTTTTATGCAGAGGTCCATTCACTGTTTTGGCTGAAACACGACCCCTCTCCCCCCACCCCCCCTCAAAAAGGCTGCTGGTGAATGCCCAGGAAGGGAGGAAAGAGGAAAAAAGGAAGACAGGAAACATTATTTAGGATCTGACAATAACAAAGGAAGTTTATTCTGTACTTACAATAGCAGTTGGGGTGGCAGCCAGCACACAATAGAGCACCAGAGGGGTGATGAAGCTTTCTTCCTCTGTCCCTGGGTAAGGCTTCATTAAGTCTCCGTCCTGACAGAAGAATCCTTGGATATGCACCTGAAAAGTGTCAGTGCACTCGAAGTAGTAGGCAAGCAGCACTGTCCCAGCCATGATGACAAGCTGAAAATACAGCATGGCCACACACAGACATTAGCAGGTCTTCGGAGCAGCGCTCGCCCCGCAGAGCACACTCCCTCCATCACCCCAGCAGCTCTCCTCCTTTTGGTATTGGCAAGTGTGTGCGTGCCTGGCTCAGCGTGCTCTGGGCTGGGGAGTGTGTGCTTGCTTGTCTGCCTTGTACCATCTGTTCCAGAAAATAATGAACAGCTCCCATTGGAAAGGCAGACTACAGCAAGGCTTACAGAGACATAGCTTCTGCTGTCATCCTCTTGGAGGATGCATAGGCACCACAGCAATATTTCCATTTGGGACAGAGGTGAAAAGTCAAAGGGCAGTGGCATAAGAATTGGTAAGATGTAGATGTGAGAAATTTCATAAAATATTAGAGATAGACTTACCTTCTTATAAAATATTAGAGGCAGGTAAATCATGAATGAATAAACAAATAAACAGGAAAGCTAAAGCCCAGAAAGGTTAAAGCCTAGAACCACACCCTAAATTACTGGTAGGGACGAACACATGGTCCAGGAATCCTAGATCAGTCACAGCAGCTACCTTCTTCAAAAAGGTGCCTTTATTCCAAAGTGCTTTCCACCAGTAAATCCAGGACTTTCCTGATAATATCTTATCATAGACACAGATCCTTCATAAGGTTTAGATATAAAAAGGGACATAACTAACCTTTCATTTCGACTCACAAGTGTCCTCGATACTCACCGAGGTTTAGATGCAGCCTTTAGTAGGTATGAGAAGTTGAGGGAATATAGAAAAGCCAACATTAGTTTTCTCATTCATATTCAGAAACACTAAAATGCCAAGATAAGACGGTGATAAAGATAGATAGAAAACAGGTTTTTGAGGTTATGAAATTACAGAAAATTAAGCTGGAAGAGGTCCTGGAGATCTTCCCCTCTAAAACCTTTATTTCAAAGATGAGAAGGCTGAGGCCCAGCAAGGGGAACTGAACACTGCTGAATTATCCGACAAGTAAACTAAATAGATACTTAGGTTGAGAATCAGCAAAGCAGGGAAACGAAAATGGAGGGAAAAAAAATTTTTTTAAGTGTTGATTTTTAAAAAAAAGTATCAAAGTAATCATTATGGGAAAAAATATCCGATCTTGGGAGGATGTCTTTGTACATTGTTTATGGCTTAAAATTGTTTTTGCTTGGAAGTACATATGGGGCAATGAGGGGGAAGGAAGGGTTTAGAAAGGCTAAAGTTCTTCTTCCAGCCCTGGAATGACTAACTCAAAGTCATGACATAGCTAGTTAATGTTAAGTCTGGGACTAAAAGCCCACATTTTCTGATCCCCAGGAGAAAAAAAAAAAAAAACCACCTGTATCATGGCATCAAAATTTCACCCTCTACAAAAGCCTAGAGAGTTACTCTCATGCGAGAGGCACTGCTGGGTGTTTTTATCTGTTTCATATCCAGCTCTTTAGCCACAGCATTGCAGAGAAGCCCTACACTCTGCCCACTCTCCGAAACCCTGCATAGCTTCTACATGTGGGAACTTATTCCTGCAATTCCTCCTTGTTACAGCTGAAAGCATCCCAGAGCCTTGAGTTGTAGTGGGTCTCCCCACTGGGTGCAAACTCCCCAACCATTCTGGTATAAGGGTCTTTGTCTTTGGCCTCAACCATTGCCACCTTTCTTTACCTCCAGGCCGGTCACAAATCACACTTTCCATGCACTGTCCTTCATACACGACTTGTCTCTGGTTCTACAAGGACTATATTCTACTCTCTTGTATTTCCTCCCCCTCTTCCCCAATGGATCTTCTGTCACAACTTCTGACCGTCTAGTCATCTCCGGATATTCCCATGTGTTTCTTGGAGCCTGAGGGTATTTCTTGGTGATTTACCACATGTAAATCACCAGTGCTCAGGCCAGCTATCTGTGTTGTTTCAAGACTTTCTTTCTTTTCTTTTTAGCCCCAGAGGGGAGATTTGGAAAAGTATGAGACAGAGGTGCTCCATAATGGGTGCTCCTGCTGGCAGCTTGTTTATAAAGTTGAGGCCATGAAGTTTCTATTTCTTTTGCGCTTCACTGATCAGCTGACCTGAATGTTTTGGGACTGAGGAAATGCTATGATTCCCATAGTTTGGGGGAGCTTTCCCTCTAGGGCTCTCTGTGCCTCCTGCACAGGCCTGATCTGGGATTTCTAGGTGTCTCCTCCATGTGGCTGGAAACATATTTCGTCAGCGCTTGGGAAACAACTACTTGGAGAACAGGCAGGATCTACAGGAGCTTTTGGATGAAACAAAAACAAAAAAATGGCATCTAGCTTCCTCCACTGAGGACAAGTGTCAGATTTTACTGGGCACCTCTGTGTTACCACTTCCATTTAAAAATGGGCGGGATGAAAATGAAGTCCATAAAAGCAAAAATATACACAGGTAAAAAGACTCACCAGAAAAACGTAGACTAGAAGCTTTTTGAACATAGAACCATCTTAACTTCAAATACATCAAAATCAACAATAATGCCAACAAAAAAGCCTAGGCCAGTATGCCTCAGTTTGAAGTCTATAGAACAAATTTTGACTAGCTGCCTGGCCAATTTAATCCTGTAAGCAGCATTAAGAGAGAACTGAATGAATATGTGAATCAGTCAATTTCAGCGCATAAAGAACAGAGAACCTCAGAGACTCAGGGTGGTACAGGAAGGTGGGAACTTCGGCAGCTTAGCGGACAGAACTGACCCAGCAGCATAAGTCTACTGACCCTGATCAGCTCCCTGATCAGCCAGAAACCCCTGCCTGTCATCTTTTAAGTAATCCTCAAACTCCCTGGAGAGGCCCCCATAATACCAGTTAGAGATGCACAGAAGCAAACCCAGAATAATTCAGATTTGATTTCTAGGTTTCTTTTCTATTGAACATTCTCTTGTGACCACATATTAAAAAGAAGCTTTGCATTTACTGTGGGAACAGAAACACTACGTTGGTTCTGCTTCCATTAGCAGAGAGGTCCGCCTTGTAACTCTGATGACAGCACACAATTAGCCATCAGCGTCCTCCCTCCTTCCTCTCTCTCCTGGGCCATGATCCATCACTGTCTAGGTTTGTGTTGCTGGTACCAGCTGACACACTTGGCAACTCTGTTGCCTTCTCCAGCCCCATTTAGGGATGCATGGAGGGAGGCCATAATGTTGGTGTCACATGAGCAGATGGTGAGGCTGTGCCGGACCCAAGTGCTGGTAGAGGGTTGATGATATCCGTGTGAAAGGAGCAATTATAGCTGTTGGGGGGAAGGAGCTCACGTACCAGGGTTTTTCCTCAGCTTCACTTCCCAAGAATGACAATCCGATATATAAAAATGCATTAAATCCTGACCATTCTACAAGGATTCAGAAGGCAGATGCCAGCAATATCTGAAATCCCACCTCTCAGGGTTGAGAGCATTGTGTTTCTACCCTCCAGCGATTAGAGAAAAGGGAAGGTCACAAAGCTGAGGGAAAAGGCTGAGATGACAGTACATTTTCCTTCGGTCTGTAAAGTCTGGAGCAATTGTGGACACTAATTTATATGACCTGATATAAGCTCAAAGAGTGGGGGAAGAGGTGATGATGGTATGACTCATGCCAGCAAGTGAACCTGCGTATGTGTGAGTGTGTGTGGACACACGCACGCACTCATCCAGGAGCATCGGAGCAGACGTGTGAGGAGGGAATGAGAGGGCTGGCGTCTGGTCTGGAGTGTAAGGGGCGTATTTGAAACTGGGAAAGCCCAGTCTAGGGGACTGACCACCTCAGTTTGCCCAGGCTTGAGGGGCTCCTGGGACATGGGACCTTTCGGTGCTCAAACCGAGATCGTCCTAAACTAACTGGGGTGCTAGGTCACTCTACCTGAGGCAATGAATGTTTCCCTCCCCAAAGAGGTTTCTCATTCTGGTTTTGCCAGGAGCTATCAAGACCATTGCAAATTAATCAGTCAACCAACAACTGTTTGTGGGAGCTGCCTCTGTGTTCAGTCCCGAACTAAGGGCTGTGAAGGTGCAGAATCCTTGGACATGCTCTCTAACCTCAAGCAATTTGTGATCCAACTGGGGAGTGCTCAACACAGGAACCAGACAGTCATCTGTAGATCTGTAGGAGGGTGTCTGCTGATCCCCAGTTGGGGTTCATACGTGGCTGCCTGTGCCTTGGTGAGCTGATAGGGAGGGGGTTGATAGAATAGGTAAAGGGCTGATGCCTGGAAGAGAAGGGAGTATAAGGGGATGGACAGGGCAGCATGGGGTCTGTTTAGGAGACTGGTTTTGACTAAGCCCCATGGGCATATGTTCAATTCCAAAGAGAGCAGGGATAAAAGAAACTCAGCAGAAGGATCACTGCATCAGAGCTTAGATGATAAGATTCGGCGTGGTTGTGATGCAGAGGTTATGTCTTAGTGAGGACTCCAGGGAACAGTACCTTTGAAGGACTTGCATGTCTTTCATATTAAGAAAGAGCAAGCCAGGCACAAGTGTCTGTAGCTGCACACAAGGGCTGGGGTGGGAAACCCGCAAGTAGGGTGCAGATGGAAGTGGGAACCAAGGTCGTAACCTGGAGGGGAAACGTGAGAAAAGTGATCATGACCCTTGTGAGACCTCCATGGGCACCTCTAGGAGTAAGTTCGACACCCTTGGAGAGGGGGTGGAAGTTCTCCACATAAACAACAGAGGCAAGAGCCAAGAAAGAGGAGGAGATGGTGACGGTAAGGGTGAGGATATACATGATGCCTATGTCCCAGGTGCTGTCTAAGAACTTTACATACATTAACTCCGCTTCTGCCCAATGACCCTGCATGGTAGGTATATTATTATTTCCATTTTACAGGTGAGGAAACAGAGGCACACAGAGACTACATGAATTGCATAATGTCACACAACTCACAGGACGGAACCTGGGATGATGACTAAAAATGATGCATTTCTCCACACAAACTTAGGTGGCCTGTGGAAAATCAGGTCACAAATATGTCAGTATGACATTAAGGGGTAGACTAGGTGCCACAG